GCAGTGGCTGGTCTTGCCTAGGGTGCAAAATAGTCTAGCACCAGCCCTGATTTCATTACATAATTTCCTTAAGCTTAGCCTACATTAAACATCCTTGGGCATGAGACAGCCACCATCTGATTGGAAGAATGAATGGTGCCTTATTCGCCCAAATGGGGCCCAGATCCTTGAGTCTCATGAATTCCTCTGTGAGACCCATCTGCTGTGGGCAGGAGGCGCCGTACAATGCAATGACAGCTGCGAATGTCCGCATCTGTTCTCAAGCCATTTGCATGTAATCGTACATGCTGCAATTACCTGTGGATGAATCTGGACTAGGATCCCTGGACTAGGGGTGCCATCTGTCCAGGATTCACCCGGACAGTCCGGATTTTGAATGCTGTGTCCGGGTTTCATGGCAGCTGTAACCCAGGCACAAGATGTCAGGCAGACAGGGGCAACCAAAATTAGATAAGATAGGGGCTACTAGACCCCCACTAAAAATAGTTTCGACTGTGATATTTACATATGAAAGGGTGGCACTATTTACATATGAATAAGCCGTGACGCATTCTTGCCAAAATATTTCCCTGCGTCGCTAGAGTGTTCAGGTTTCACTGGAAGAAAAGGTGGCAACCCTACCCTGAAAACAGACTGTTTAAGCCCAGATGCGATTGTCCGCGGGTAATCGCATACTGTGCGATCACATGCAAATGGCCTGCGAACAACTGCAGGTGGTGGCAGCTGTCATTATATTGTACAGTGCCTCCTGCCTGCAGAAGATAGCATAAGTCTCACGGAAGAATTCATGAGACCCAACAATCCAGCCCCATTTGCAAGTGTGAATGGGTGAATAACAGTTGGATCAGGAAACAGTTGCACATCTGTGGTTGCTCTGTGATAACAGCAGACATTCCTGGGCTAGTTGACATCATGGAAAAAGTTCATTATCTAAAATACAAATTACCATAAGCTTGTTCTTCTTCCCCAAAGATAAGTTTGGCATCAGTGCTGTCCACTCGGTGCAGTAACATGTGCATGCCAGTATGATCACACATGTGTATGCCACGGTCTACCGGCTCACATGTCAAGTCTATGGCTAGCACTGTAATGGCGGGATCCGCTGATCCCGATGAGCTGATCTCTCATTGAAATGGACAAGAAATATGCCCGCCCATCCCAGATTGCTTATACTATTGTTAGGATACAACAGCTTTCATGCCTTTAAAATGGCGCTTGTAAATTTTTGTGGGTTTGCTGTTAATTTGGCGCTCCTCCAAACGGAATATTTATGCAATGCGCTGCTTAGTAGCAGTTATCTTATCACGCATCTACCTATTACCCAGCACAGTACATTTGGTACTATTAGTTACCATGCTAGATCTGTTTATCAGCCACTTCTTTTATTACACACATAATGCAGAATCACTTCACCACTACAAGTTACAGGTTTTTTTTTAGCTTTCCCAGAGCACTTTGTATAAAGCTGTAGAGTCAAATACACCTTGCAGTTTTATTTTTATGTAGCAAGCATTTAAATGTTTATATAATTGCAGCGTGAGTGTTAAAGTGTATCAAAACCCAATAAAGAAAATGTAATTGCAGCTGGCTAGACCTTAGATGTGGTGACTGCATTTTTTTCCTTGTGATCCTGCCAATAACACGTTTCTTTCCTATGGTGACAATCCCACTTAAAGGAGAACTATTAAGGCTTTTCCCCATAGTTCTCCTTAGGGTAACAGGAGGACACAAACTAGCGTCCTCCCGACACCCTAAGCTCAGTATTCCGCAATCTACAGCTCGCGGTATACTGAGACGCCGCAGCTGAAGCGGATCCCGACAATTGTGCGGGGATCCGCCCAGCTGCGTGACTGACAGCTGGCTCAGCCTATCTAGAGGCAGAGCCAGCTGTACCCGCCTCCTCCCCATCCGTTCCGCCAGTCAGCACTGGCGGGTCGGAGCGGGGAGGGGGGAATCCAGCCCCTCCCCTGTCACGGCTCTCTGCCAAGAGGTGAGCGAACGCCGGTATGTGTTCGCTCACCTCCCAATCTACTGAGCCGACCTGTGACAGTCTCATTGTCACAGGTTGGCTAGAACTATGAGGTGAGTGAAAAGCACTCATCTCATAGTTCTCCTTTAAGCTGGCCATATAGTGCTGACATTTTGGCCAGGTTCTGCTGACTCTTTCAAGCAATGTGTTGCCCAGATGGCACCACTACTTTGACAAAATAACATATTTCAAATGACTTTTGTGGTCAGAAGAATTCCCCCCCATTCAAGCTGTTTAGTGAGGATGAGGGCATTGAGTGTTTTCTTCAGCATTCTTAGCCTAGTGGGGCTGAACAAGAAAACAAACATAGATATACAGCAGGGGTGTAACTAAAAATCACAGGGCCCACTTGAGACCCTGCACATACCAGAGTCCCCGCACAGCCCACCTGACACCCTGCAGAGGCTACCTGAGACCCCACACAGCCCACCTAAAACCCTGCAGAGCCCACTTTAGACCCCTCACATACCAGAGGCCCCACACAGCCCACTTTAGACCCTGCACATACCAGAGACTGCACACAGCCCACCTGACACCTTGCAGAGCCCGCCTGACACCCTGCAGAGCCCACTTGAGACCCCGCACATACCAGAGACCCTGCACAGCCCACCTGACACCCTACAGAGCCCACTTGAGACTCTGCACAGCCCACCTGGGATCCCACAGTCCACTTGATACCCTGCACATACCAGAGACTCTGCACAGCCCACTTGAGACACTGCAGAGCCTACTTGAGACCCCCACTCATACCATACCCCACCAGGCACCCTGCATAGCCCACCTGAGACCCTGCACAGCCCACCTGAGAGTGACCCTGCAGAGCCCACCATAGATTCTCTATGGTGGGCTCTGCAGGGTCTTAGGTGGGCTGGCCAGGGTCCCTTTCCCGGCACACCTCTTACCTTTAAGCCCCGATCCACTCGCTGCTGGCCCTGGCCTCCATTTCAACCAACGCTACTGCCGCCACTGGGCCTCCGCCACAGCCGCTGGGCATGGCCTCCTCCTCCTCAGCTTCTGGTTGTCACTAACTCAGCAACGGCTGTGAGGAGGAATGCACTGCTCCACAGATCACTGACGAGTTGTCAGTGATCTGAACAGCAGTGCGTTCCTCCTCACAGCCGCCAGTGACAGACTTGGAGCTTGCAATGCCATAACGACCCAGACGGCCTGCACGGCATCAGGGGGACCCCTTTGTCCCTGGTCCTGGTCGGGCCTCCCTGTGCCCCAGGCCCCATAGCGGTCACCTGGATCGCTATGGCGATAGTTCCGCCACTGCTATATAGCCACCTTTACTATACTGTATCTACGGAGAAGTTGTTTTGTCACCCTAGGATAGGAATGTGTCCACACAATAAGGAAGAGGGGCTCAACAGTCCATTGGGAACATTGTAACTGATAGGAGTGCAGCACAGACAGAGAGCACAGGACATTTTAAGCTAACATGATTTTTGACAGGATCAACAGGTATTTTTTTGCACATATAGAACAGATATTAATATAATACATTTAATTGTATATTTTAAAGACTAAATAAAAGACGTTAGGGTTTATATGACCTTTAATAGAAGATGCTCATATGTATCATAACGTTTGTGGTTTGATTGCATTGTGTGTCTTCTTAATTTTACAGACCCTCATCTGCTTCGCACTATGACCCCAGAAAATCTCTGTCACATTACCCCACCTTCCCGCCTGGAGCACCCACCACCACCACCTCACCTACAAGGCCAGCCCCCTCCACACCCTGCTCACCAGCAGCACTATCCTAGCATGCAACGGGATCTCTACTTGAAAGTGGAGTCAATGATGCCCCAATACCCTCCCCTTGGACCTGGAATGCCCCCCGCAGACCTTCATCATGCACAGCAGTCTCAGATGCTTCATCAGCTTCTGCAGCAGCAGCATAGCTCAGAGTATGTACTGTTCAGTGACATATCAAAAAGTCATGTTTGAAATGTTACTTTCCTAGATATGTGCTAAACCATCCCTTGAACTGTGGTTGAGTATTGAGAATTATAAATAATATTATTTTCTTGTGTCTGTGTACTTTACCTGCACTGCACTGAACAAGCCTTTAAGGCTAGGTTCACACCTGCACTACACTGCACGACACCCGGGACGCGCGCCCCAGGATCGCGCGGTCCTGCACAATGCAGGCAGCGATTTCCGCGCTGCCCCATTGATTTCAATGGGTTGACATACGGGCGGAAATTGCAGAAAGAAGGTACACCCGGGATGCGCGTCTGTTTTAGCCCGGTGCAACTGGGGTCTCATTAGAAAATAATGGCACCCACAGCACGATCGGTTCACTCCTTGGGGACTCCTGACCGCGCGGCAATCCACGGGAATGGCGCACAATTGCCGCGCAGTGAGGTGTCGCCAAGTGTTAACCGAGCCTTAAGGAACCTGAATCATAGAAATATGGGAGCTGCTATTACTGGGACAGGCAGATGGTCAGAATTCACCTGAAGTCTGACAGTTGCAGACCTGCCAAATGCATGAGATCATACACTGGGGTTCATTTACTAAGGGAATGGAGGTTGTTAATTTTTTGTTTACTGTTCAAAGTGAATGAAAGTAACTACTGTTGACCAATGTTCATTTTAAGTAGCCAGTCATGTGCAAGTGGAAAAAAATAAAAAACAAGATTTTTGCTACCACATATCTGGTTGATTAAAGGGCACACAGCTGCATTGTATTTATTAAGCTCAGTAAACATTCACTTTGCAAAGTGAACATACTCTATGGTAAATCAACCCCATTGTCTCCCATCTTCTGAGTGTGTAAATGACAGGGCCACCAATGGAGCAAATTTTCTTCATGAACAGGGCAAAGTTCGCTCATTTTATGGGCAGCTTAAGTCATTTACTGTTTCGGCCCATTCTGGACATGGTTTCACTGAGGATTTCCAAGATATTAAGGAGTTTGACTAAGTTACATTTCTTCTTTTTGTGACATTTTATGAATACAAGTTTTTCTTTATTGCAGGCTCCCAGTGCACCCAACAAAGAAGAGGAAACACTCGGACTCTCCAAACTTGAGGGATCAAGTATCTAATGGAGGCATGGTGAAACAGGAGCCGGGTACTGGCACACAAACATACACCCACACACATATATGTAGTGGAGGTGTGCACTTTATACAGGGTACATGTTGCAACACAAATGATCAGCCATATTTATTGAGTCAGGGTATGATGAAGCACACATATTGGCCAAAACCTCTCCAGCTGAAGTATGGAGGTAAACCACATACCAATGTTTAGCCACTGAATAAAAGCATTAGGGAACTTCTGAGATGAAATGTCAGGAACTGCACATTTCCATGAACTGATGCAGAACACACAGAAGTGACAGAACTGCAGTGAAATAAATGACACACTACACAATTACACGGTGGGAGGCTCGTGGGATGGTGTTTTTCATGTCAGCTAATTTGATATTTTTCTAAATTTCTCCTGAAGGTCTCATGCAAGACAATGACAGTCTTAATGGTTCCTACTTGGATCCCAACTACCAGTCAATAAAATGGCAGCCGCACCTACAGAATAAATGGGTGACCCTGTATGACAGCAACTACAAAGAACTGTAAGTAAACAGGAAATTGTAGTGTCATTTAGTATTATGCACAATTCGTGTTTTATAGACACATTATGTAACACTGGTTCATCAAATTTGCAGACTAAAGACAAGGCTTATGTATCTTGTGAGCTCAATTTGTCGGTGTTATATAAATAAACAGAATAAAATGCAGTAAGGGTTTGCATTGCAGGCACTGACTGTTCTATACAATTGCTCTTTGCAGCCCAATGCCGACCTACAAAGTGGATGCAGATAAAGGGTTTAACTTCTCAGTGGGAGATGATGCCTTTGTATGCCAGAAGAAGAACCACTTTCAAGTCACAGTATACATTGGCATGATTGGAGAGCCTAAATACGTCAAAACCCCTGATGGTATTTTACCTCTGGAGTGCTTCTTCTTAAAATTAAATGGTGTTAAGGTGAGTACAATAGAACGCTGATGTCTGTTCTCTTTTTTGTGACTGTTTTGTTTTGAAATTCACATAATTAAAGTGACACTAAACTCAGGAGTTGAATCTTAAAAATGCATTTAAGTATCTTAACTATTAACAAAAATTGTAGATTATTTGTGTATCACTCAGCTGTAGCTCCTCAAATCATCTCTGAATTGGTGCCAATACTGTCCTTCCTTCTGGAGGGTGGCTACTTTTGTTCCCCATGGTCCCTGTGTGTGTTGTAAAGTAGTCACCGCTCCAAGCTCACTCCCATGATGAACTACAATCTCACGCTTAGTTTACTAATTTGTAAAGAGATTGTAGTCCATCACAGGAGCGGGCTTGGAGCTGTGGTTACTTTACAACACACAGGGACCATGGGGAATAAAAGTAGTCATCCACCAGAAGGAAGGACAGTGTCTCCACCAATTCAGAGATGATTTGAGGATCTACAGATAAGTGATGCACAAAAAAGGCCCAGTATTGTCATATAGGCACCCTGTAATAATTGTTTATAAAATGTATACAAATAATGAAACACATAAAATAAAACATTTTCTATATTTATAAACCTAAAAAGTTATAAAAACGTGAAACCAAAAGCCATCGTACTTTGCCAATAATACACTCATGTTGGTTTTTTTCTTCTGTTACAGTTAGAGGCTATTAACCAGAGCATCAGTATTGAGCAGTCGCAGTCTGACCGAAGCAAACGTCCGTTCCATCCTGTTACGTAAGTAAAAGACACGATTAATAAAACAGACTTTATGTTTTATTGGATTTTCCAGAACAGGTTCATTGAAGTTTATCAATAATATGCAGACATTTTATTTCTAGGCTCACTCTTCCTCCAGACCAGGTTACGAAAGTGACAGTGGGGCGACTCCATTTCAGTGAAACTACAGCAAATAACATGAGAAAGAAAGGAAAACCCAATCCGGACCAAAGGTAAATGCCACTATGGATATTAAGTTATTTTTTTACTTACAATAAGGGTTAACACTGGCCAATAGCAATATTTTAATTCTGAAATTGAAAACTTTACAGGATATGCTTTGCAGTAGTGCGTGGTAAAACACACACTCTGTGTGGTAGATTGCAGTGCCATTATTTTAGAATGCCACTCCAGTGCATAGAACAGTAGGTGTGGCACCTGCACAGTGCATATACTTTGTGTTGTGGCGTGGCCTGGTTTTTGTTCTGATGCCGTGCCTTGGCCGCCCATTCTAATTGAATTGGCTTCCTTAACAAAATGCACAAATGTTAATGTGCACACAGTAATGCACCGCAACAGAATGGAGTTTGGGGAAAGAAGTTTAAGGGGCCCTTTTAGCCAGACTGTGATGCTGTCATGCTATAATAGCTTTGTGTGTTGTATAATGACATCAGTGCAAGGGTACTCTGGAAGTCTCCACACATCATTGCTATACATGTACACTGAGTGGCCAGATTATTATGACCACCTGACGTTTGTAGGCAAATTAGCTATAATTAGCTATAATTTTGCGCTGAAGTTGCTAGAGGGCCAGACCATTATACATAGGGAAGCAGGTTGTTTACCACGACAGTAGAAGTGATTTTTTTCTGAAGATATGGGTAAACAATGCGATTTAACAGCCTTTGAACGTGGGATGATTGTTGGCGCTCTGAGCCATGGAGCGAGTATCAGCAAAACAGCAGAATTCGTTAAATGTTCAAGAGCAGCTGTTGTTAAAGTGTTTAAAGACTGGACTGTCAGCCGAACATATGGGTCTGAACGTGCGAATTGCGGCCGTCAGTGACTAGTCAATGTCAGGGCAGAACGGAGAGTGGCAAGGCTGGTACAAGACAACAGAAGGGCAACAGTGCAGTGTCAGATTCTTCGCATCACCTTTCAACATCTCCTGGAGTCACGAGGAGGCCCAACGAAGTCATCTCGTGGAGTCATCTCGTGGCCCAACCAAGTACTGATGGGGTGGTCATAATAATCTGGCCACTCAGTGTATATTTGCTCACTGAACCTTCAGTCTTAGCGGGGAATGTTAAGGCCACAGACAGAAATATTTTAGGGAATCCCCGGACCTCTGGGGGGGTGGGCAAAGGGGCAGCTGTATCCATTGTAGATTTGGTTCTAGCTTAGTTAAAGCAAAATACTCCATTGCAGTTTGCTTCACTTAAAGATATGCTGTGTTTCATTTTGCCATATGATACACTTGTAAATAATGCCAGGAGGTATTCTTTTCTAATCTAAAAATGTCTGATAACCGTTGATGATAGATTTCATTCAGCCTCAAAGTAATTATGAAATAGTTACAAAGTTTCTAAAGCTTTCCAGAAGGGTACTTTTTAAGGGTTACTGCATCAATAGTTATATATTTTTAGTTATACCTATATCAGGGTTGGAATTTTAAATGATATACACATTGGTCATTCTCTACTTGTTTGGTTTTCAGATATTTTCTCCTGGTTGTGTATATATATATATATATATATATATAAGTATTACTATTACAATATAATACTTTTTTGTATTAATGTTATGTGAATTTGTTTTGGTGAGTTGTGCTTAAACACATTCATGCTACCAGACTGAAAAGAAAAATATAGCTTGGTCCATAACAAAGTGTTGCCTAGATATCTTAGTAGCTTCACAGGGATCCCAACTTGAAAAACGCAATTTATGGGAAGTTCCCTTCTCATTTCAGGGAGGTGCCCTATGCCCGCCCCCCACCCCCATGTGTT